AAAAAAAAAAAAAAAAAAAAAAAAAAAAAAAGATTCCCTATGCAAATATTTTTGAAAAGATCTGGTATAGACATACTAATTAAAAATAATATTAACACTTTCATAATAAGAAAAAATCAACTCACACGTTTGTCCTTGAGATTATCCTAATTATTAAGAATGGTAATCATTAATATATTCTTTATACTTTAGTATAAATGTGATATTAATCTTCATAAAAATCATATGAAACAGGATTATCATACCCCTTTTACAAGTGAGGAAACCAAGATTTGGAACTCAAGTGAACTGCCCATGAGCTGGTAAGGAGTACCAGGTTCTGGTGCAGGTTCTTTGCTCTATTATCCTGACTTATTTCCCTTTCTGAAAAGGACCTGGCCATTGGTGTTTGTCCCATTTGTGATGGTTTTCATACAAGATCCTCAAACTCACCTGGCAAGGTATTAGAGTAAGTACTACTGATGCGATTTATAGATGAGAAAATGGAGACTTAGGGAGGTTATATAATTTGATCCTCTTCAGGCCAATCAGAAGTCAAGCAGAAATTTCTTTGTTTTGCTCTAAGTAATAGACTTTATTTTCTAGAAGATTTAGGTTTACAGAGAATGACAAGTAGAAATTTCTGACTCAGCCTCAGAACTTTGGACTCTATTTAATATTGTGAACAACAGCACAAGAAATAAGAAACTGGAGCCAACAATAGGTTGGCTAATTTATCCTTGTTAGGTTTGTTTTTAGTATGTCTTGTCAAGGTTAATTAACATGCTATATAGTGAGTCCCTGACATCCCCAGGGAAATGTTTTTGGGATGTCCATGAAAAGTAATATCTATGATTACAAGATGTTCCAAATAGCAAGTGGAAGGTTGAGAAAGGGGTCATAGGAGATTAGGTGTCTGACCTACTTTTACCCCAGTGTGAACAATAGCCTATGAGGCAGATCTTCATTTTCGTCTTTCCTCCTACCTCCTTTCCCTCTTCTCTTACTATACCTCTTTTTTCCAGGTAGGCGAAGGTTCAAGGTTAAACCAGAAGAGGTTAAGCTGAACTATTTTAAGAAGTCTAGCCTTGCCTCTCTGGTGAGACTGGACCGAATGAGGAAAGACTAGACATTGCAAATTCCTCCTGAATTTTAAGTTTGGCTCTGGTGAAGTAGAGCAGGTGTGTGATGAAACAGTTTATCCAGCCAAGGGAGGCACAAATTTTCATGGGTATATCAGCTGTCATCAGGGCCAGAGGAGAAATTGACAAACAGGCAAGCCCTGTGTTTGACACTTTCTTATCTCCCTTTCTAAATAACTCTTTTATGTCCAACCTCCTCTCTGCTGCCCCTCAAAAGAAATTACCACCATGGTCATCTCTGGTTTGTCAGTTTCAACTTCGTCCAAGTCTGTTTTGCCATGGAATGCTCCAAATTTTAACAATCTATCATTCGCTCCACTTCGTAAGCTGACTGGTTGCCCACGAGTGCTGCCTTCTCAGCCTTCTCTTTGCCAAAGTAGCTGCCACTCAGTCTCCACCCCTAGGGCTGGCCCCACCCCAAAGTACAATGAACTCCAACTCAGTTTTTAATACACCAAATTCCCTAGAATGTAGTAGATACCCAATAATTCTTATTGAATGCATAAATGAATCCATCCTCAATAGATCTCAACGTCAATAGATCAGAATGCCCTGGTCTGCCAGTGTCTCAGTCAATATTGCTTGTCTGCTACTATCAGAAACCCACTCAAACTAGATTAAGCAAAGTAGGGAATTTAGTTATAGGATTAGTGGGTTATCGCAGAATCTAAGGGAAGGGGATTTGGGATTAGGTCCAGAAGGGAAAGTCCTCAGGAGTCCGGGCAACAACTGTCGATTTCCTTCTCCCTCTTTCCCTGGAGTCACAGTCATTTTGGCTCCTCTGTACATGCCTGGCTCATTCCTGCTTTTCTAGAATCCAGTTCTCCTGCTTCTTAGCATACATGGTTGCCCCAATCGTCTCCAACAGCCTTATCTTGAACTTGTTAGCTCAGTTCAAGAAAATATTCAACTGATTAGATTTACCAAATCCCAATTCCGAATTCTAGGAGGTTCAGCTTGAGATAGGTGTCTCTCTAGCTCCAACCAACCAAGGCTAGGAAGGTGTGTCATGGTATATAAAACAACCTCTGTGGGTAGGGAGGGTAGTTCTCCAAAAAAGAGTTTCCGTGACCATATGTCTACTTCAAACTCTCATCCATTCCATCTTGAGGACTCCCCTGTGCCGGTTCTCAGCCTAGCCTAGCGCTGTCCACCACATTCTCTGGATGCTGTGTGCTGTCCACCTACTTGGAGCTCATCTCATCAGATGTACGTGTCTGGGCTCTAGTGGCTGCTTCCTCCAGTGGGCTTGTCTAATTCTCATGCTCTAGTTTTCTTCGCTCTGGGATTCATTGTGAGATCTATGGAAGTCCTCATCCAACCCATATTCTTTCTTCACTTCTCCCTGCCCATCTTCCTGAGTGAAAACTCCCACTCTTTACTGCTCTCTGATAAATTCAAATAATGAAAATAAAATAATTATAATTATGACAAATACACTTAAGTAAATGCCTTCTGAGTTAAGGGCACAGTACTAGACACTGATGTTCAAAGAAGCGTTTATAATATAATAGGGATGACACAAGCAAAATAATAATGGTACAAGGTTGTACATGATGAGTATTGTTTGGCTGGTTTTGATAACA